ATACAGCTACATTCTGACCACTAGCTTAACATTAATATGCATATATTACATATGCTCATATAACACCTTATCTTCTTTACCTGTCCACCCTTTCTACTCCCTCTGTCTGTCTATTCGAATGCCTCTGCTCATCTAAATAGTTTACCCTTTCGTTCGGCTCCCACGCCCTAATCAAGTGCAATCAGTTGGCTTACCAGCTTACTCATATGCCGCTCAACACTTGGCTTTACATAAAGGCTCCATTAGTCAGCTCTTTCATGGCTAATGCTGTGTGTATGTGCGTGTGTGTGTGTGTCTGCTTGACTGCAATTCTCCTCACTTGACTTTGGCTCCTGTTGCGACTCGCACGTTGCTGGCACGCATCGCGGTTATGCATGCAGCACTTGCCATGGCTGTTGGCTCTCGTGCTCCCATTGCTGCTGCTGCTGTTTCTGCTGCTGGTGCTGCTGTTGGTGCCTCTGATAGGAATAGAACACCGTTGCACCTATAAATAGGGCGCAGTCGATGTAATCAGCCTGCCACTTGACTAAATTTCAGTGCGTGCAGCTTACCTAAGTCCACACTTTGTCCTCAGTGCCCGTTTCATTGCATTGCCAACTGTCGCTGAGATATCCTTTAGTGTATGCTGTCAAGGTCGCTCGTCGCTTTAGAAACATATGTATGTATGTATGTGTATGTATATGCACAAGACAATGTCACGTAGCTGCAGATTGGCTCACCTGTTGGCACCTGCCTGCGATTGAGATTTCGTGAGCAGCTCCGCATTGTTTGGATTTCCAGAGATAGCAACTCGACTCGCAACTGTTGCGAGAATTTTCCAAGGACAACATTAAACACTACACCAAAGCCAAGGCGCTAATGGCTCTCAGACGCTGTCTGCCTAGGCAGGTCGTCAGGCTCGTCAGCTTTTGCCTTGGGGGCCAGCTATCGAATTCGTCTGTTACTAGGAAATAGTTCTTGGCCCCAGATGTGCGCAATGCTGCCAATGAATCCAGGGAATTGCATATCCGTGCATAATTGCGCATTTTCTTGGCGTTGCGTTCTGTGAAAATTGTGCGATTGCAGAGAGATTTCTGAGAGTTGTCCATCTGTGAGCCTATCTAGCCTTGGACTGCTGGCCTGCCTGCCTTTAGAGCTTGCCTTTTGCATTTCGGCTTTGCATGCGCATTTGCGTTTCACTGGAAGTTCTTCTTCTCCACTTCGACTTCTATGCCTGCTTATATGCAAAACTTGTTTAGCTGCTGAAACAGATATCGTATACGAATCAAATGAGATTAACAAGCTCTCATTGCTTTGCATGGGGCTTGTGTCTGGACACCGGGCTGTGGTTGCGTAAGAAAACATTGTGATACACTTCGGTTAGTCGACTTGCTGATGCTCTCACTTATTGCAAGTGTTGTCCAAGTGCAGAGAGTATATTTGCTCTGTGCACAGTTGAAAATCTTTTGCATCTGATTTGGAATACTTAAGCCCACAGGCAGACAGAATATTTGAATACATTTTATTCATACTCACTCATTAAACTCAAGCAGCTTCTTTTCTATGTCTCTTGAATAGAATTTAGCTTGCACTTGAATTGAATTCAATTCTTAGACTTTAATTATATAGAATACCCACAATCCCTTTCGCATCTGTCTCAAAATGCTTGCAATAGTCATGAGACACCTGCGTCTGTTGATTACTTTGGTTAGTGTATGAAAAGCAATCAAACATTAATTAATTTATGCGATTATTTTGTACGGGTTGGGTTCGGTCTTCGCGTACAGCATTTGCGTGCGTATTGCGCTCCAGACACCCACATATCCATGTGACCAGTGGCTGGTCACGTTTTTGGACGTGCTGAAAGCAAAACGCAAAAGTTTCCGAAGCAAAAACGGAAAATCAGACGAGCGTGTTTTAGCTCTACGCTGGATTTATTTCATTGCAATTGGTACGGCTTCCATGTGCAGTGCGGCGGCTGCTGGCGCTGCTGCTGGTCGTGCTGGATGGGCTGCATGGGCTGTATGGGCTGTGACGTGCTGGCGCACACCTCCAATTGGACGACGCTTCCTATGGGATCACTGATGATTTATTTTAAACGTCACTTTGAGGTGGGGTTCAAGGTGCGACGGGTTCATATGATATTGCTAAAACTATGAAGCTATTGTGTGCGCTGTCCACTGCCTGTTGCCTGTTGCCTGCTGGTTGTTGGTTGATGGTTGTTGCCTGGGCATGAATTGTTGACGCTTGTGTCGAGGCCAATAGCTGAAAGTTCAATAGACCAGAGGGCAGACACTCTAGGTAGGGAAATTGTTTTGACGCACTCGCCTCAGACAATGTGAATACAATTTAACACGAAAAATGGAGAATTTTCGGGCTGATACACTTTATTCAAATTTCACGCTTAATTATTTCCCCCTTTTTTTCAGAAGAGATATTCATAGGTCAGCGGCTTGTAGTCGGCACGGTACTGCTGCTGATAGGAGTTGTCTGTCTCCACGCTGTGATACACCTGCGACTGTAGGGCCGGCGAGATGAGGCGACGAGTGTAGGCCAGTGGCAGGGCATAGGCCAGTCCAGGTGCGCTATAGTAGGTATAGCCAGGCGTGTAGAGCACCTCATGGCTGAGTGCGAGGCCCAGCAGGCAAGCAAAGATAATGAGCTGCAATACAATAATAGTTGTATTACATATAATTTGTATTTTAATTTCATTTTTATACTCATTTTAAAATTTTGCCTAAAACACTCTTTTTGGTCCCTCTCCATTTGCTTTTGCCGACTTCTATTCGCCTTGTCTTCGGCCACCGAAATGAAAATGATCAATGCCCAAATGCCTAAATGGTCATCTAGTCGTCTCGCTCCCACTTAGCAACGTCCGGTACTACGCTCAGTAGCATTCGTCTCTCTCTTTCCCTTTCTCACACAAATGATAAGCGTGCTTCAATTGGATTTTATTTTCACAGAACTCTCTATGCAAGCTCTCAACTTCTCACTAATACTGTTGCAAGCCAATCACGGCAGACTTCCATAATACAGATAAGGTATATTTGTATTTTCTCTTTATCTGCTCAGATTTGCTGTATATATTCTTGTTCACATGTTTAATTCTTTCTAGTTAGGCTCTATATATTCCATGGCTAGTCTTTTCCTCTCTTTCTCTACACTTTCTTGAATCACAAGAGTTTCAGCTTCATTGTCCAGCGTGTCGACTTCAATGCTTCTTGAGGCGTTTTTGCCCTGAGCTTTGCCTTTTACTCGATTTTCTCTACATCTCCATAGTTTCACTAGCCTAGCCTAGCCTAGCTTCACTTCACTTCAATCCCATGCACAATTATTCACGCTTAACTTACCAGCTTCATGGTCCTGTTCTGCACACAAACTGAATGCTGGCTGAGGCGCGTGGCTCCCTTTTATAGGCTGCAGTTTCTGTGTCCACTACAAGGTCAAAGACATTCGAGGCGGCAGCTCTGAAAGAAGCCCTTAACTCACTTTGAATGGAGCTGCAATTGCAAATGCTCTTCACAGATCGATTGACTGCAGTCCAAAGGAGACAAAGTAGATTGGGCCAAACGAAGGCGGAGTGAATACAGTGGGATACCCTATTGTGGAGCACAGTTAATGGAGTTGGACTGGTTATATATGATACTGAAATTTTCTTAATTGTTCATAGCGCAAAGGTCGTAACTCTTACAGCTTAGCTTACACATGCAATACCTTAACTTCAACTAGTCTCACATACCCTGCTCTTCTCTCTGCTGCATGCAGAGTACAAGGAGTTGAGCATGTTCTCCGTCTTCCCAGTCAGACGGAGCGTTGATTGTCGGCTTGAATAACTTGGCATTGCAATGCAGTTGCATTCAACTAGTTGCTCGCTTGCTCAATCATTCTCACTCACTCGCAGAGGCTCTGTGCGATCTGAGTTTCCATTCCTTTTCCGTTTCCCTTTCCATTCCCTGTCGGTTTCTGCAAATGGTAAATATTTTGCTCTTCGATGTTGACAATTTATTCGCTTGTTTTGCTTCACGTTGGCCCAAAATCAACAAATAAGGTGTAAGGTGTAAGTGGGCGTGTTCTCTCGCATTGATGAATTTCAAGGTCAGCTACAGCTTCCGCCTCGGTGGGCGTATTTACATATCTGTCCTTGAAATCGTACTCAAATTGTGAGAAGTTTACCAAGTGCGCAGCGCTTTGTTTTCCGATTGCGGTTCCTGGCGTTGGCCCCAATCTCAGGCAGGTCCGAAAACAAACGCCTACTACATTACTCAATTAAAGTCCTTTGTATGTATGTATATATCGTACTTATTATTCAATATATTTCTGCGTAGTATTTACTGTTTTGGTCAGTTCTGCTCAGCTGTTGTTATTGTTGTTGCTGATGGTGTTGATTGAAAGCAAATGCGCAGCTTCCTTTACCTGAGTGTGGGTCGCCTTGGGGCCTATTGGGCTACTTTCTTATATAATTTAAACTGTGATTTCCTAGACTTTAAACAGCTCCATCAGAAATCTCTTCAATTCACCGCGTCCAATGATCTTTAGTGCACTTCTCCACTCAACGCCCATGGCACACAAAAATGTAGTCGAAGCCGCAGCTGAATAGAGCAAAGTGCTGCAAGTTTTGGCCCGGCGGTTGAGTAGTGTGTAACACGAGTTGAGGGAACTCAAGTCATTCACTTATGAAATGTGAGCTGAACCAAATAACCAAATAAAGCCCGCTAAGATCTCAAAGCACGAAGGTCGAGCATTGGATTGCATGCACTCCATAGAGCATCGGCCATCGCTCATAGTTGCTGCTGCCTGCCACTTGTTATATAAATGCTGCAGTCTGTGCAACTAATCAACGAGTCTTCTGACAGCTACGCAACGAGTTTCAGTTCTGTTCTGCTCACTATCCAAACGCCCTCAACATGTACAAGCTGGTGGGTAGCCGTTGGTGTTGTTCCTTAATTCATTTTTAATTTGCATGTACATTTGGCAGTTGGTCTTGCTGTCGCTGTGCGTGGCGATTGCCTATGCTGCACCTGGACTACTGCATGCCACACCCATTCTGGGCAGCTCCTCGTACCTGGGCTGGCCAGGACAGACGCTGCAGACGGTGCAGGTGGTGCGCCCCATTTGGCCCACACACAGCATTGTGCGGCCCATTGGACGTGGCTACGGCTGGCTTTAAATGAGCAGCAATCTTCTAAGGCGGAAGGCCTAAAATGAAATAAATTCCTTGAGCTTGATTGGAAAGTCTGCTAAATGCCTTATTTATTGGGACTCTTGGGGTTTTCATGCTGCGGCTATAAAAGTCGAGGCACCAGCTGCCAGCTGCAGTAGTTAGTTTACAGCCAGCGGCATGGCCTGGTCAGTAAGTAGGCGTCTTTTATTTTGGAGACACATCTGTAGCTTCATCTTTGGCGCAGTTCTTTCGGATACTGTGGACTGTGACTGTGACTGTGGTGCTGCAATCGCAATACGCCGTGCCTCTTCATCTGTATGTGCTCACGCCAACGCTGCGCTTGGCTCAGCCCACTGAAAGTCAACTGCAGTTGCCGCCTCTCTTACCTGCCGAAGAGAGAGAGATGGAGCTCTCTGGAGTTGTGCAGGGCAGGGATTTATTACTAGAAATGCAACAACTGATGAACAGCTTCAATCGTCTCCTGCAGTCAAACAATACCGCAAAGAAAAAGAAGAAGCCGCCGTTTTCATTTCCATTTTATTACAAACCGTTCTTGGATCGATTGGGATTTGGTAACCTAACGCTTAATCTGGCGTTCACATTTAATTTCATGAACACCAACTCCTTTGCTATTGGTAATTGATAGCTAAACTAGCTTAAAGGATTATGTATTATACTTCGGAGAGTTTAATTTATAATTTATAATTTAGCAGTAACTCTAAATTAACAATTCATCTCTTTACACTATAAAATGCGTATGCAAAAGCCAAGCCACGTCAAGCAGGCTTCCCATTGGCGGTAGTAATAAAATTTGCAAAGCAACAACAACGTTCTCCGTTTTGACGAAAAGGGATAGAAGCATGCGCTAATCGTTCAGCATACAATAACAAATAACTAGCATGACAGCCGCAGCAGTACTGCGAGTCAAACGGTACTTTTTTCGTGCTCTCTCTTGATCGTCTGGTCTGCGAGGAATCGCATGCATGTGTGTGTAAACGAAAGGGAGGACAATAGGACCAAGCCGAGAGTAGCTCATCGTGTGTAGGAGTCAAATGATGGCGTTAGGAAACAAAAACAAATGACGTATGAAAGAAAGAGATAAACGTTGCAATTACTTGTTCGCGTTCATGGCGTTTTTAAATAAAATGGAGAACGCTCAAATGATGGCTGACTCTCTGGTTAATTCTCGAACCTTCATTTGCAGCAATGTTTAAATTATTGTGTGATTCTGCTGAAGACGGCTATTCATTATTATGCTTATTGCTTGTATTTGCCAAGGGTTAAGCTTCATCAAAATGGTATAGCTAACTTTTAGGCTGCTGTTAAATAAGAATGCAAATATCTAAGTCGTGTTCACAACATTTTATTTCTGCCCAAAATTATGATCAATTTTCCATATCCAGTGAGTGAGTCGTCTACTTCTTCAACAGCAGAGGGGCTGTGTAGGCCGCAGCGTAGGGGGCAGCCACATACGGCGAGGCAACATACGGCGAGGCCACATATGGAGATGCCACATAGGAAGATGCCACATAGGGGGATGCCACGTACGATGATGCCACATACGGAGATGCCACATAAGGTGCGGAGTAAGCCAGAGGAGCCACAATTCCTGGCTTAGCAGCAGCGAAGGCGACCAGGGCGAGGATCACAGCAGCGATGAACTTGAACATTTTTAGTTTGTTGGTTGGTTGGTTGACGATTGTTGATGAAACAAATGTAACTGATGCTCAAACCAGTGTCGAGCCATGGCTTATATACGCAAATTGGACTCAACCATTTCGTAAAGACCTTGGCCAATGTGCATGGTGTATTCTCTTGGGCAATTGCGCAGGCAGTGCACGTAGCCAGTCCAATTGGCACTTATATGCGTAAGTGGCTTAAATAATTTGTAAGTTTAGCCCCGCTTGGCTCATTAGCTGGGCCAGCACGATGTCTGCGTCAAGGCTCTACCTATTACCTGGCTGGTGTATAAAAGCTCTGGCTCAAGCAGCTATCATCATCAGTTTCGTTCAACCAACAAACTAAACAACTCAAGATGTTCAAGTCAATCATCCTCGCCGTCTTCGCTCTGATTGCCTGCGCTGCAGCCAAGCCAGGAATTGTGGCTCCACTGGCCTACTCCGCGCCCTATGTGGCATCTCCGTATGTGGCATCATCGTACGTGGCATCCCCCTATGTGGCATCGTCGTACGTGGCTTCCCCCTATGTGGCATCTCCATATCTTGCATCGCCCTACGCTGCTGCCTACACCGCTCCCCTGCTCCTCAGGAAGTAGGAAGATTAAGACGACCCGGCAAACACATCTGCAAAAACTGAATATGAATAAACAAAACTGAACCTCGGAATCAAATTGTTTTTACTCATTTTATCTTGTATATATATATTGTATATATGTAAAGTAGTCGGGGCTCTGTTCAAGGTCTTTGCCTGGCACTTATCTCAACTGCCAGCAGGAAGTTTGAGTCGAGGTCTTTTATCTGCGCCTTCATTTGGTTGTTTGCTCCAAAAGATTTCCTGGTTGTCTTATCAAATATAAAAAGTATATATGTATATGTATATTTATATTTACATTTATAACTGCGTTTCCTTAAGCTTATTTCTGATTTTGGCTATATGCTATCTCTCGATAGTATCTAGTATCTCCTAGGCTTCCATGGTGCCATTCGAATGGAAGACAATGCTGCTGCGATTGTAGCGACCCGAACGTTGAACCTTGCGCCAGCGCAACAGTATCAGAGCCACCAAGGACATGAGGATCACTGCGCCCAGCACACACAGGAAGAACTTCATGAAGTGCAAGTGGAGCTCGAGATTTCGTGAGTGGGCGCGCAGCAGCTCCAGTTGATTGTGCAACGCCTGCGTGGGCTCCTCCTGGATGGCGCCCTGCTTGGATGGACTGATGCAGGAGACATCGCGTATGTGTGGCGTCTCGTCGGTGCTGTTATCCGGCTCGATGTGCAGGGTCACGGTCTCGGTGAGGTAGGGCGGTATGAGCAGGTGGTGCAGATAGGAGCAGTTGAATCGATTCCTCGATATGCCCAGCTTCTGCAGCAAGGGAAAGGCCTGGGCGAAGCTGCGATTGCCCTGCACCTCGGTCAGCAAATTGCCATCGACAAAGAACTGCTTGAGGTTCGTTAGATAGGGCACAAATAGATCCAGATTGAGGTTGGTCAAGTTGTTGAACGACAGGTCGAGTATCTCCAGGAACTTCTGCTTGGAGAACATGCCGAACTGCAGCTCGCGCACGCCAGTCGCACGCAGATAGAGATTCCTCAGCCGCTTCAGCTGATCAAAGGTGCTGACAGTCAGCGATCCGATGGGATTGTAGGAGAGATCCAGATGAAGCAGCGCAGTCAGATTTGTAATATTCGCCATGCTCGCCAGTCGATTGCCTCGCAGCTCCAGTGTCTCCAGCTGCAGCGCCTGGTGCATGTGAATCGAGCTGATGTTGTTGTAGTTGGCGCGCACGAATCGAGTGGCGTTGATCGTGAGGTTGGTCAGGTGGTTGTAGTCCAAATGGAGCTGATGGACAATATTCTTGTTGGTCAGCTGAAAGGCGTCCAGTGAGTTGATGGCCAGCAGAAGGCTCTCCAGGCTGGCAGCCTCCGTGAAGGTATCGGGATGCAGGCGTATGAGCTTGTTGTTCGATAGATTCACCTCCTTGATGCGGCGCATGCGATTGAAGACCTCCGGCTGGATGAAGGTTAGCAGATTGCTCTCAAACGAGACCGACTCCAAGTACTCGTTGTCCTTGAAGATGTCCTTGTGCAGATCGGTCAAGCGGTTGCCCGTCAGCTGCAGCTTATTGAGATTGTGCAGCCCGCAAAACGCATTCTCGCTCAGCTGCGAAATGCGGTTGTACGATAAGTCCAGCCGCATCAGTGCATTGGCCCCGATGAACACAGACGTCTGCACGGAAGTCAAATTGTTGTAGCTCAGATTCAAATACGACAAGTTGCTCGCCGCGCTGAAAGTGTTGCGCGTCAACTCCAGGATGCTCGTATAGGACACGTCCAGCGTCTTCAGGTGGGTAAACGTCTCGAACAGACGGAAGGGCACCGACAGCAGCGTCGAGTCGTAGAACTTCATGAACTTCACCATGTTGCCGGCCAGAAAGTTCTTGACCACAATATTTTGACTGTGGGTCACAACGAAGCCGGTGACTGTGCAGAAGGCATCGCTGGCATCCATATACATGTGCTGCTCGAACTCATCGCAGCTCAAGTAGACATCGCCCGATAGGCCAGGATCGCTGTTTGCCAGGACGAACAGAAGCAATAGACCAGCAGTGCGTATACGCATTGTGAACCGCGCGCAGCGAAGACTTTCCGCAAACTGCAAGAGAAGCCTCGGACTGCAAGTTTTTACAGAAGTGCAACGGAATTTGCGGCACGATGCGAAAAACTGCCGATTGATATATGCATATAATATATACTTGTATATCATTTATGCATGTAGACAGAGACTATCGTTGTTCATAATGCTCTGTTAACAAATACAGAAAGACTTTGCTCGAATAGTTTGTTTTTCATATGAAAGACTTAAGAACTTTTCTCAGAGTAAGCTCAAGCCAGATTCAGTCTTTTCAATCTTCATTCTTCCTTAACTACTGAATATATAATATTGCTGCATATTGAAGAGTTATGTACTACAGGGTATGCTCAAGTCGCGCCTGCTCTGTCTGGAGCATTGATATTTTTTCGATCTGCTTCTCCGAGTTTACGAGTGATAAGAAATGTCGGCCTGGGCTTTGCTTTTTCTCTTTTTGTCATGTTTATTTGCGATTACGAAAAGTTTTATAAAATATTATACGCAAAGATATCGTACGCCCATGCGGCATGGCCATTGTGTTGATGCCACGCTGGGTGCAGTCGGCAATGCTGCCACACGGATTAAAAGTGTATTGACTGATTGCATAACTGAATTGCAGAGTCCGCGCTTGACCTTGCATCGAGTATGCATCCGATTCACTGCATGCCCCAGGCCACAAGCCAAATGCTCTTTGGTCTGCTCGTGCTCACAAGGGCAGGTCAGTTAACTGAACGCATAAATTTGAATCGGAACAGCTACTGTTTCGCATATATCCATATAATATATATAGATGTTCAACGCTTGTTCGCTTTGTTTTCTTTCTTTTTTGGTGGCTGCCTTCAAAACTTTTTATGGTCTCACATTTTGGCGACGTGCTCGACATACCCAAAGCAAAAGACCTTTCCAGCTGCTTTTGGCTGGGCACGTAGCCAGGCGCTCGGCTCGTCTTTTATAATTTGTATTGCTTCTAATTAGTTTTCGTGTAGAATTCATCCACATCCACATCGCATATTGCGGCGGCTATAAAACTGCAATCGTAGTACTCTCTGGCATAGTCTACTTTGATAGCTCTACCCAAACATTTCAACATGTTCAAACTGGTGCGTTTCTTATTTGAAGTCTGTTTTCGCTAAGCTCTAATTGGTTTTCCTTTGCAGTCTGCTGCCCTTTTCGTGCTCTGCGCCGTGCTCGCCTGCAGCCTGGCTGAGGCGAAGCCTGCGGTGCTTGTGGATGCGGCTCCTGCTGTTGTCACCGCCACCAGCTCGCAGTATGTGGCACGCAATTTCAATGGCATCGCTGCCGCGCCCATTGTTGCCGCCGCCGCCGCCTACACCGCCCCGATTGCGGCTGCTCCCGTTTCCAGCGCCGCCTATACCGCGCCCCTTGCTTACCCCTACAGCTATCCCTACACCGCTGCCTACACCACATACCTGTAAATGATGCATTCACCGTGTTGACTCACCTTTTTTTTGGAATAAAAAAACAATTGCTAAACGGAATATTTTGGTATTTGAATTTATTTTTGTTCAAAGAAAGTCGAAATGTTGGAGTTGGTAATACGAATTCACTGCGTGAAGCGAAACAAATATTAATGTGAAATATGTGAACATGCAAATATTGAGGTCTTGGATCTATTTTTAATGATACTAGGAAACAATTTTGTTCGATGTTTTTAAGCGTTGTTCCAGTTGCTATTGGAAGCTCTGCTCTGTTCGCCGCTTTGGCAGAAAGGTGGGCATTAAAAAGCCAATGCCATAGAAGAACAGCATGATTCATAGAAGGCAATAATCATCAGAGTTCCGGGTATGAGCCACGCCGCGTAATTCTGGAATGTGCCACATAAAATGTCTGATTTTTATAGCAAATGATATTTGATATACACATGCATACGAAATATATCGATATATTTGATATTTTTGTTTGGTCGCCTTCCGTTCTAATTTAATATTTTTAAAATATTCCTTCATTGCGCTGGCGTTCATATCTGTACTTAAAGTCTCGTCATTCGTCCACTGAAAGCAAAGCGGCCATGCTTGAAGGACCTATATAGCCATCTCTCTCTCACTCAGCAAAGCCAGGAGCGACGTTCACTGACACTTATATTTGTCCCTTTCTGTCTGTCTCCTTCATAAATGGCGTGCAACTAGAACGCAAACTCAAATGGATACTTTTTTACTAATACTACTGCAAGCCGAATACTGCAGCCAATCACGATCAAATTTTATATAATTTGGAAACTGTAAACAGATTTGATGGCGGCAGAGCAAAGATGGTGTGGATTTTGCAATGTATATCTCTATCTGTCTCTATCACGTCAACTCTGTGCTTATTTTAATATAAATAAAATGGTTGTTCGAGCTCAACCTCATATATAAATAAAAGTATTTTTCTGTTTATATATATATTAATATGTGATATATTATATATATATTTTTTTAATAAATAATATTTCAATTAAATTGAGCTATGCTTACAAATACTTCTATTAACAACAACAACGTGTTTTGGCAACGACTTGCAATCTGTGCCTGGCTAAGGACTCCGAGGCTGGAAGCCAGTGGCTGCCCGTTTGGCAGCAGCTGTGCTGGACTGGCTGCTGCCGGTGCTGTCCCTGAGCCGTTGCTGCTGCGGTTTGCTGCAGAATGTTGCATTGCAGCGCGCGTATGGCGCCCACACAGCTGGGCAGCACGAGTGAAGCGGTGCAGAGCTGACAGAGCCTAGAGCGGTCCTCCCCCGACTCACAGCAGTTGCAGCAGCAGCAACAGCAAGCGGTGCAGCAAGTGGTGGAGTCGCTCGATTCGGCTGTAACTACAACCGCTCGTTGGCTGTTAGACTCCTCCGGTGCGTTGAGAATATGCGTTTTATCCGCGTTGCGTTTGAAGCTTAGTAATTTCTTATACATGATTGTGTTCTAGGCGCTTTACTCTGATCAAATGAAACGGCATGTGGGGCAGTCGCTTGGCTTTATAAATTCATTTATGGATGTTCGATGCGATGGAGGTGCGAGTGGGTCACAAACCCAAGCGCATGCTTTGCATGCGAATCACGTGTCAGTCAACGTTTCAGCTCGATTTGCTGATCGTTTTTATATTTTTATTTATTTTATTTTTTGCGTCACGTTTATAAATACTTATTGCGTCTGGTTGGACAGCGACCCCGCCCCCTCCACACTCACCCCCACGCCCGCTGCCCATAGCACATAGCACATACGCTAATGAAACTAAAAGTAAAGTGCAAATTTGGTCGCCGAGATTCTCCTTGGCGTGAATCGATACGACAAGCTGACTGCTCAATTGGCAGGCAAGAGCATCCGAATGCCTCGCCGTGCATAATAATTGAAAATTCGATTAGTTTCGCATATTTTTCTTTTTCTCTTACTGTGTTTGGGGCCTCGAGTCTTTTGTGCATTTCGGGTATATAAGTTCGTGCAAATGCTGCAGTGGGCATCAGTCAAGTTCTTCAGAACAAGCAGCTCGTTACAACCCAATCAAAATGTTCAAATTCGTAAGTCTCACATACACGACGCTGAAAAACATCCTCTCTAAGTGAATCCTTTCCATAGTTCGCTCTGTGCCTGTTCGCCGTCGTCGCTTGCGTCGCCGCCAAGCCCGCTATTGTTGCTGCACCACTGGCCTACAGCGCCTACACCGCTGCCGCACCCGTCGCCTACACCGCGCCCTACACCGCCGCCTACACCGCTGCCGCCGCCTATCCCTACTCCGCCTACCCCTATGCTGCTGCCTACTCTGCATATCCTTATGCCGCCTACTACCGTTAAGCATGGATGACGACTTGGCCATTCGATCTGGATCCTCGACTCGCGCAATTTATGTTTCCTCGAGCAATCCTTAGACTCTTCTTCTACTCGGTTTTTGTTTCGCCTTTTTGGCTTTTCGTCTTTTGAGTTTATAGTATTATTTAATGATGGTTAGAGTGAAAATATTATTGTTGAATTAAATGCATTTTGCGTAAAACGTAACACACAGCTGTGAATCTCTTATTATTTTTATTTTTTAGTGAATGATCGGGCGCTTTTGAGGACTCTTGCCATGAAGAACAAGCCTTTGCTTTCCCAAGGAATCTTTTATTTATTTATTTTGTTGCCTTGGGGAAGTTTTTCTTCTTTTCTAAGTACACATTCCTTTTGGAAGTGCTCCATTCCATGGGAAGTTTTCCTTCCTCTCATAAAATCTTTTATCTTCTAGACTATTTGCCCTCTCTAGGCTCTAGGTATCTGAGCTTAAAATAGAATACATATCAGTTATTCTCGTTATTTGAAGCCGCATCAACTGTTATTTGTATAAAGTTCTTGTGTCCATTCACTTGAATGCTCTTCCTTCCTTCGTAATCCCCAGTTTCAGATCCATTTGACCCCCGCAAGGACACTCGCCGGTATCTATTTTCTTTCACCTTGGGCACTCAGCTGTTGGCCAACCCTCTGCTGAGTAGTTTTCTATTTTTATATTTAATTTGAATTACAATTAAAATGCGCTGCTCGCTGCTCGCTGCCCGCAGTAGCTAATGGAATCTATGTACTTGCAACTGGGTTACGTTCAAATGACGGGCACGTAAACCGTACGTAGTCAGCAGCAGTCTGTGGCTGATCAGAGAATTGGTAAGCGCTAAATTATGATAATCGCATCCACAGAAGGCAGCTGCCGCTGACGACAACTTGAGCTGCGGCTCGAGCCGGCTGCGAGGCGGAAGTGACTAAGCTCTTGAGTTAGGAATGTGGATTATCGTGTAGTTTAGCAAGTGCTTTGTATTTGGTTAGGATTTGTTGGCCTTGTTTGAATGCGTGCTCCGGCTTTGGCTTCGCTGCCAGCCAAAATGAGCATTTGGCCCTGGTTTGGTAATATTTCAATTATTCAGTGCAGGTAGAGCAGACATTGCTAGGCCGTTGCTATGAGTCGTGATGGGGCTATTTGTCGTTATTATGAGCAGCTTAAGCAGCAATTATTATTGCTTGCCACACGTGCCACAAAGCCATGTAAACAGCGTTCTGGACCCCTAAAACCCTAAAACCCTCGTAGCCTAACCGAGTGCTGGAGCCCAGAGTTCATTGGCATCGACTTTGTTGACTTTGAAGCATTGCATAATCCCCGGGCACTGCTGGGCCGCGCCCTTTTCACTGTTTACTATTAGCGAGCTGTCAGCTTCGATTCTTAGGCATACCCTGTACAAGTGGAGTGGGGTGGACTAGGTAGTTCAGGCAACGACTTGCCGTTGATTGCTATAGGCTCTTAATAATCGAGTTTATACCATCATAACTATTTTACAGTAATTTAGTTGTCTCTTAGATGTGTTTACTTGAGAGAGAAAACAAAGTCTTAATTTGATAATATAATTATTTGAAAAATAAATTAAAAGTTTAGTTAATATAAAATTAATTTGGTTAATATAATCTTAATTTGATTAAATTTTTTATATTTTTTTGAAATATAAAATAAAAGTTACGTTAATAGTAACTTACAGTAAGTATTTAATATATGATCTAGCGCATATTAGTAAACGACTACATACAGTTTCTTTAACTCTATGCTGTTTCTATATGACAGTATTTGAGCATGTGCATACAGGGTAAACTCGACTATCTATAAATATCGTGAAATATAATATAATAATATAATATATTTAATCATATATATATATATAATTAATTATAGATAGCTATATATATATATATATTATATATATTATTATATTATTGCAGACCTATATAAATAGTAATCTCAAATCAGGTATATATATACAGTATATACTGCCCTGACTTTTGCAGGGTATCTCAACTGTTAGAGCTCTAGCTGCTTCAGTCTTGGTTCATTTTTAATTGAAACGTGCCCAGTTCGTTGCGTGTGGCAGCAACAGCTGCTGCCAGCATTTGCAGCGCTAGCCGCATCTAACAGCCGCTGCCTCTGCCGCTGCCTCTGCCTGTGCCTCTGCTTCTGCTGCTGGCGCGTTTAATTAAAAGGCGCCACGGGGAAATAGACGCGACTCTCAAATCTCAAGCATCAGCTGTATGGGCCTCGCCACTCCTTGTGGCAAGTGCATTAATCATGCGCCGCGTGGTGCCGACAACGTTCTAGCTCATTTTCCATTTGTTTCTCTTCTACTTTGCAATGAAAATGCATTTCATTAAAATGCTTAAATGTCGAACGGTTTGCAAATGAAATCAAATGCGAGTGGTTTTTCGCAAGTTCTTTTGCTGCATTTTGCATTATTTTTGACGCCTACAAATTGGCAGCCATTAATGAACCGGGTGATGCGCCACGCCCCTTGCAACGCCTTCATAATTGGCTTCGCCAAAAGCTTATGGTTGAACTAATCGAGTATTTCCCAGGCAACTCGTTTGCCATTTTAATCAGCTCCCCCTCCCGCTGTTAACTACATTAGGTTTTTGTGTATTTTTCGAGTGGCTACAGTGTTGACTGTCAGTTGGCGTACACAGTGCCAGCAATTTGGCAACTGCCCAGCTAGCTGACACACTTCATTTGTGCACACATCAATAAAGGTCGATCCTAATCGGCGCGCCGTCCGAGTGACAAAATTTTAATTGAATTTAATATTGTAGCGCTCACTGTATGAGTCCATAAACCGGCTACAGTGCCTGCTTAGAACTGCCTGCTCCACTCAAGTAGCCGAAAAAAAAAGAAAAGAAAACGAGTTGTAAGTGACAGACTGTGAAATACCCTAGAGTAATTGTTGAACGGAGTTGAGGACGGACTTCATGGAGATAGGGACATAATATAATACCCTATAATCCTATATATGCCTTATCACATCTCTCTCTCTATCTCTCTCTCACTCTCCCTCTCCCTCTCCCTCTCTCTCTCTTTCTCTTTCTCTCTCTCTCTCTCTCTCTCTCCCTCTCTCTCTCTCTCTCTCTCTCTCTCTCTCTCTCTCTCTCTCTCTCTCTCTCTCCCTCTCTCTCTCTCTCTCTCTCTCTTGCTCTCTCGCTCTCTCTCTCTCTCTCTCTGCCATATATCCTCTCTCAGAGTCTATACACCCCATCTCATCTACCTTTGCTGGGGTAGAGCTGCACATAAATGTGTCGCCCACTTGGCAAACGCATTTGTATGCAAATATTTTGCCTGGGCGTAAGTTACGCGTAATCACAGCCCGCTGAAATTGCCCAGAGTCTGGGCATTGTCAAGCGGGCAGCCGCCTTTCCATTTGCCGACGGGGAGCTGAGATTTACGCAGTCAATTTCGCATGGCACCGCAGGGCGTTGCGGCGAGTGGACAAACGGTGGTGCAGGTGGTGCACAGGTAGCCAACAGGCACACAGGCATAGGCATAGGCATAGCCATAGTCACAGGCTAAGACTCAGGCTGAGGCACTTTAACAAGTTGGCCTTTTAAGTTTTACGTAAAGTTTGAACTGATTTATGCGTGTGGGGCGGCGAAGTGCGCTGCAATTAGCTGTCAGCTGCAACAGCAACAGCAGCAACAACAGCAACAACAATAAATATGTATATTAGAGTGAATACAACAACAATGTGCATTGTGCTCGCAGTTGATAGCTATGAATTTATGATTGCATTTCAAGTTGCAGCGTGCACTGCGCACAGCGACATAGCTGGCGGGGTCTTTTAGTTGATGGCCCCCCCTTGAACGACCTTGCAACGCCCCTGACAGGCGCAGCCGCCGATAGGCTTGCAGCAAACATCAGTTATCGACATTTGGCCTAGATAAAGCTGATCTAGAATTCCGGCTCAAGCAATCAACCAAACAACGCGCATTATGACAACCGTACACTGAGCGAAATGGGCGAGAGCTGAAGGTAGAAAATGTGATAGAAGTTGAGATATGGTGTGAAATGAGAAGTTGGAAGAGTTAATG